CTGGGTAGAGTCCAACTTGAGGTCCATCAGGGCAGAACACATTTCGGGGGAGGCAAATAGACAAGCAAATTCCCTGAGCAGGGCCACGGTGGACCACTCAGAATGGCGACTGGATCCGGCCCTGTTCAAGGACATTTCAATGAGGTTTGGACGTTCTCATCTGGATCTGTTTGCCTCCCCGTCGAACACTCAACTTCCCAGGCTCTTTTCCAGGTTCCCAGCATGGGGAGCGGAGGGAACGGACTCCCTCCGATGCCAGTGGCCGGCACATCTGCTCTATGCCTTCCCTCCCCTTCCATTGTTACTGGCAACTATCCGCAAACTTATCCAGGAAAGAGCAGAGGTAATATTGATTGCGCCACATTGGCCAAGGCATCCGTGGTTTGCCGACCTTGTGGATCTCTCACTCTCACCACCATGGAGGATTCCCCGGACCGAGTGGCTCTCAGTCAAGGGAACCTTCAACATCCCGACCCTCAGTGGCTCCAGCTGGCTGCCTGGCACTTGAGTGGGAAGCTTTAGCTAAACAATCCTTTTCGTCCGGGGTGATCTCAATGATTCAAGCCTCGAGGCGCCCCTCGAATAATAGGATCTATGACGCCACGTGGAGAAACTTCTGCACGTGGTGTACCAAACGAAGCCTCAACCAGTTTTCAGTTACGATTCCCAATATCCTAGATTATTTCTTGAAGGGTTTGAACAGGGGATTATCACCCAGTACCATTCGCAGGCAGATCGCGGCTCTTTCAACGGTCCTTTCCTGCGACAATTTGAGTCCATTGTCGCAACATTCAGCGGTTAGCACCTTTCTAAAGGGGGCGGTCAATACCAGGCCGCCCATGGTACACCGCTATCCGTCTTGGGATCTACTTAAGGTGTTGCAGGCTTTGACTTCTCCTCCTTTCAAACCTCTCAGTTCCTGTTCTCTACACTTTCTGTCCTTGAAGGTGGCGTTCCTGGTAGCTATAACATCGGCTAGGTGAATATCACAGTTGGCCGCACTTTCAGTTAGGGATGACTTATGTACCTTTTTCGAGGATAGGGTGGTCCTCAGATTGGATCCTTCCTTCGTTCCAAAAGTAAATACCTCGTTTCACAGGTCCCAGGAACTAGTTCTTCCTAACTTTTGTCCAAATCCCTCACATAGACTGGAACGGCAGTGGCATAAATTGGATGTGTGCAGGGCCCTGCGCCACTATGTTAAGTGAACCTCGGCCTTTCGCAAGTCAGAGGCCCTGTTCGTATCCTTTCAACCCTCTGCCATGGGCCGGAAGGTCTCATCTTCTACCATAGGTAGGTGGATAAGGGCTTGCATTGCGCGGGCTTATATTTCCCAGTCACTTCCAGTTCCCACGCACATTACTGCTCACTCAACCCGCAGTGCAGCTGCGTCTGCTGCTTGGTCCAACAGGCATCAATTGAGGAGATTTGTAGAGCTGCGATGTGGTCATCCCCTTCTGCATTTGTTAGGCATTATAAGATAGATAGTTTTGCAGCGGCGGACACTGCGTTTGGCAGGTGAGTCCTGCAACAAGTTGTTTCTTCTCAGGGGACATTAGCCTAGACTTCCTCACCCGTGGGGACATGAGCGGCTTTGGTATGTCCCATCCAGTGGATTCTACATTCATCATGCTGGAGAAGGGGCATTGTCTTACCTGAACACCTTTTTTCAGCATGATGTAGAATCCACACCCTCCCGTCTTGGTAGTCTAGGCAGGTGTGGCAAAAAAATTGGAGCCATTGCGCTGGACTTCGTCAGTGATGCTTCGCCTCATCAAAACTGGGAGGACACACCCAGAGGGAGGCGTGGCCAAAGTTCTGACCTAGTCTCTGAGCAGGAGGGCTGAAACTACCCATCCAGTGGATTCTACATCATCATGCTGAGAAAAGGCGTTCAGGTAAGGCAACGCCCCTTTAATCAACCACAATCAGTGAATCAGCCACACATTCCATTTTGAACACCATGTTGGTTGGATTTGCGCAGTAAACTAAGTCAGAACGAAATTAAACCACACAATGACCTGATACATTATCTGACTAAGCTCTTGAATTATGGCAAGGAGATATACTAATCCTGCTCTTCTTTTGTCTGCTTAATCTAAAGTACATCAACTACAAAAGTAAACAATCTGAGCTCTCCTAATACATACACTTTCCATTGGTATGTATGTATGTATGTATGGATTTAGATATTTAGTAGCAATTGTTATAATTGACATCAGTGTGAGAAATGTGCTTGTTAGTAGCAATTGTTATAATTGACATCAGTGTGAGAAATGTGCTTGAAGGCCCTCTTTGAAAGATTGCAAATTAATACAGCTTTCTTTTATCTCTAGTAAAAAAAAACTGCTCCTGATCTTTTAAAATCTTATTTTTATTTCAAACTCCAAATTTCTTTGTTTCTTAATTTAGATCATGGCAAAAGATACCCCTCTCTTTTTTCATTTGTATAAAAGAAGTAGGATTAGGCAAATCATATTAAACAAATTCATGTTGGGAATTTAGGTATACATTTTTAAAACATTATGATACTTTTCAAGTAACTATTCATAGCATAATAACCACAAATTATGCTGAATTGGCAGAGTAGTAAAATATAAACCCATTAGAGCAATAACATTCTTCCCTGATATTGAGAAATTTATATATAGTTACAAGTACATATATTAAAGCTACTCTAACAGTAAAAAAACACCAAAAACAAATCTGTCCAATTTTTTTAAAACCATGTAGATAAATAAAATATATGAAATGGGATATTAGAAAAGTCAGGACATTACCGGGTTAAAGACTTAACAAGGAATCCATCTCTGCTGAATATATTTTTTGAAGAATTGGTTATAAATTTCAGGTTTCATCATTCCTTCTTAATTTTATTAAGTTTTGGCAATGAAACCCTTTAGCAGTATTTAAAGTGGCATATATAACTGCATTGTTTAAATTCAGGAAACTCTCTTTAGTTCAGTAATACACTTCTGTACTTGATAGCATTGGCTTTGAAAGGAAGGTGAAAAAAATCCCGGAAGAAGTAATAAAATAATATGGGAAGAGGAAATGGAAGTTGAAGACAATGAGTTAGATTGGAATTCTTTATGGCATAAAATTCTGTTTAAATCCATTTTGGAGAATTGATGATAACCGAATGTGTAGATGTTAATACCCACCATTAACATTACATTATATGAATCAAAATCTTCCTGTAAAGATTGGTAGAGATTACACTGCTGCCAGAGGCCTTTGCCATTGTCAGTTTAGTTCTTCATTCTGGCCAGATATTTTTGAAGTTGCTCAACAATCTTTGGGAATCAACTATATTGTACGTTTGTTTTCTGTATTTCTTAACACAACAAATTAATTATTTTTTCTTTCACTTTATGGATTTATTATTGCAAAACATTAGAAAATTAAAACATTTTTGTTTGGGCCAAATAGATTCAGAAGTTTGGGAAATAGTATTGGCTAAAAGAAAAACAACAAAACAGAGCCCTGATAAATTTATTGTTTTATTTAAGTTTTGTATCCATTTTTATCAGCAAAACAGTTCTAGTAGATTATATTTGTTCATGAGAGAATCTATATATCTATATCTTTATCTATATCCATATACCTTTCTGATCAAAATATTAGCTATGGATGTTTAAAATCTTTATACCTGTCCTTTCTGTCTCTCATTCTGTGCTTTTTTCATATTTGTGTTATGTATCTTATTTTTATATTCTCATGAAGTTTTGTTAATGTTCAGCTTTGCATTTACAACCCCCCCAAAAGTGCCAATAGGTAGCTGCCTGAAGAAAAAAAATGTGACATGAACTTAAGAAATGAAAAGACCTATGCAAATTATTGACTCCCTCAGCAGTTCTAGTGGAAGTGTCCTCTGTGCATGCACAGATAATCTGAAAAGGCCTTTCTGAATGATGAGTGAATTCTGGAAAAACATTCATGGGGCTGCTGCAGTCAAAGCTACTTTGTGAATTATTTACACAGCTCTAATAAATAATACATCATACTATTGGTCATACTGTATATACTAATGGGTCATTATAATTATTCATTATTTCTCTGTTCTTTGACACCAAGAAACAATTTAATTAACGTTCAGTTTCCTGATTTTCTGACTAATAGCCAGAAATTCATAGTCAATAGGAATACAATAACAACAGTTTTCTCATATGGTTTTATTGCCAGTCATTTCTAACTTTCTGAGAGTACTCGGTTAACCTTTAAACCCCGAATGCCTTAAATAGTTTATCTTAAAAGAGCATGTCCTTCCATTTCTATTTCTCCAAATACCAAGGCCAACTTCTGAAGCACTTCTCCATTTATCCCTGCCAATGAAATGAAGTACATGACTACAAAGACAGGGTGGTGTTAGCATCCCATTTGAGAATGACATTGACTTTAAGGCATGGTTAACTGGTTTTTAGTCCTTTCGGATCTTTGTGTTACTTCATTTCTCCTGTAGCTGTATGTGTTACAGCGTTTTCAACCATCTATTTATTTTGTTATATACTGTTTTTATCGTTGTGCTTCACTTTATTTATCTCTTTACTGTTGCAAAAGCCTGAGTAAGTCATTAATTCAAAAGTTGATAAATTACTTCTAGTCAGATGCAATAGTAGAATCATTCTTTTTTAAATGGCACTTTTTATTTTAATTTGCTGAAAACAATGTAGCTAAAAAGTTGTACAAGGTATGTGTAGCTGTAAAGTTTTTGCTCATAGATCATAATAGAGCCCAAGGGGCTCTACCAGTTGAAATAAAGAGTCCTTGTTCAGCAAGTAAATGAAAAGACTTGTATTAATTGAACTGCATAGGAAACAACAGACTTTATATTTTTAGAAATAGTTAACTAAGGTGGGATTTTAAAAAAAATCACAAAGTTATGTGCTGCTTTTAAAGAAATGTTTGATATCTGTTGAATCGGATGCATAAACCTCATTTCAGGAAAGTTTCTATTCTGCTATTGTAATTGTACTTGGATTTTTTTTTATTATTTCTAGATACATGTATTGGACAGATTGGGGTGAAACACCTAGAATAGAGCGTGCCGGAATGGACAGCAGTTTTCGGAAAATAATTGTGGATTCTGACATTTATTGGCCCAATGGACTCACAATAGATCTCAATGAACAAAAGCTTTATTGGGCTGATGCAAAGCTGAGTTTCATTCACAGAGCAAATCTGGATGGCTCCTTCAGGTAGGGGTGGTTTGTGCGTGCAGATGTGTATGCATGTAACCCTCTGCAAATACATTTAATATTGCTTATGTGTTTTCTTTTTTAAACTGGTGCTAATGTATTTTCTGGCAGCTATGACAACAAAGGTTATCAACCTTGCATCACCAATTGCCCTTGAATATTTTGATAAGTGTCTGGCAGATCATGTTTTGTTCCTTTTTCATTTTACATGTTTCCATCTCTCCTTTACTGAAGTTTCCTTTTTCCCCTGTGCCTCCCTTTTCACCCCATGGTGCTAGCTCACCGTCCATGCACATGGTGACATTGAACTAACTGTGCTGCTCAAAAGCACCTATGGATGAAGTATGTATGACAACCGTTGTGACCTCCCATACAAGAGAAAATGGAGACACACATACTTTGCATAGCTGTGTGTATACAAGGAGAGGGAGGGAGAGGGAGAGAGAGAGAGAGAGAACTACCTGCTTGTTGTTTTCTTTTCCAGGGTGTTTGAAAAAAATCAGTCTGCAGAATTATATTAGATTCTCTTAAAGTTCTATAATGTGTTTTGTTGGGATCCTTAATATCACTGTCAAATCAAAAAAGACATTTTCTGCGATCAAGCGATAGTATCAGTAACTCATATAAAAATAACAAGATAAATCTGGACTGTATATTATATAGTCTGTGTTAATTTCATATTCTTGTGCTAGTACTGAAATTTTGCTTTAATTTTGTGTATCTTTAATTCAAACAAAGAGAGACATGTTCTTCTACAATATATTCTGTAAACAAAAACAAAAAAAATCCTAAATGTTGCTCAATGCTATTTCAGCATTGTTTGATCTTTAAAATAAAGGAAGGGATTCTTTTTCTTATAAAGAAATTTACTTGTAGCACAAAAATCCAATTAGCATGTTTGGTCAAAATGCTTTATGAACTCATTTTACTTCTCCTAAATGTTGTCTTTGAAAAATCACAGCCCAGATTCAAGAAATCCAAATAAGTCATATTGGAACATACATATATCCTGCTATGACAAAGTTGTTCTAGCGATAATAAAGTTAATTTCAGAATTTTAATCAACGTTCCTAATGTGAATTGTTGCCATTTAAGATAAAATATTCCAGCTGTCTCATTTTTTTTCTCCTCCTCGTCTTCACTCATGACTCGTGGTTGGACATTGTGCAATGCATATTTGTGTTTTGTGCACAGTATAATTCCGTGGCTTTTTGTATCTTATTATAGATGTTTAAAATTATTATGGAGTGGTAATGGAAAATATGAATATGATGTTTTTATTCCCGAATAACCTTTAGTTATTACTGCTAAATAAATTAAATTTCAGAGAAATTATGTACATTACAAATATTGCCACTATGAACTGACTTGAAAGCAGTATAAAGTGTTTTATACGGTGAATGGTAGATTAAAATTGTTGGAACAGACTCCTGTGTGATGAACCTCCACTTTGAAAAGTCAGAACAAAATAGTAATTTAAATAATTTTTCATAGCAAGATATTTTATGGTAATTGTGGTTCCAGTTTGCAGCCCCAGGATTTTTTTGGCCAGGTTTGAGTAAGGCTCACTCCACATATTGAACTGTTGCTGTTTGTGGAGGTCACTGTTATTTTATTTTAATTTTGACTTAAGCTTGACATCTTGTCTTTCCATATTAATTTGTGAAGTAGTTTTGTAATCACTTTGGAAAATATTCTTTCTTCTACAAACCAGGCAAAAAGTCGTGGAAGGTAGTCTCACTCATCCATTTGCCCTGACGTTGGCTGGGGACACTCTGTATTGGACAGATTGGCAGACACGTTCCATTCATGCCTGCAACAAGAAAGCTGGAGAGAACAAGAGAGAAATAATAAATTCTCTGTATTCACCAATGGACATCCAGGTTTTGAGCCCGGAAAGGCAGCCATATTGTACGTTTGCTGTTTGTTTCTTTTTCTCTCACATTAGGGATGGGTGGGATTTTTAATCTAACACCCATGACTTCAGAGAAGAAAATGCAAATTAATTATTTATGCAATGTAGGATGCTGTACTGCTATAATTATTAACAAGCATCTGGTATGCTATGCTGTTATTTGATTGTGGTAGTCTTAAATGCCATGACTTGAGCTTCTTAACTTGATTGCTGTTTAATAAAGTTTGTTACCACCATATTTACATAAGATGTTAATTGCAGAGCAGAATCTCAAACTGTTTCAAAGGAAAGAAAATGTCAGTGGCACTCAGGGTCTTATCCTATAGATTTTTCACCTTGTAGTAACTTCTCTAAGCTCTGATTTGCTTTGCCTGATGAGAGCGTTGGCTGATCAGGCCAGTATTTCATGGGAAGTTTGCAAGAGAGAATTTCTCTGACTGTCAGTGATGTGGCTGTTGCTGTAATGTTAAAGAAGCTCCAGCAGCTAGAACATAACAACCAAATAAAAGTGCCAATGAAGGAGACTTGGAATTCAAATTCTGTGGAGTCCATAAGTGACTCTCATTAAATATAATAGCTAATTCCCACTTGGATGCCACAGATCTCTGAACAATGCATCAGACTGAATAGTTGAACACTTTCCAAGACTTAAATGAGATCATTATTAACTGGTCATGCATATCATTCATAGCGTAATGCAAATTCGATTACAAAGCAGGCCATAGTAATGCAAATTCTTTGCTGAGATGCCTTTTTGCCTACTTATTGAAACATTTAGAAATGTTAAAATTCAGAATTTCTCAGGCACATATACATATATTAAATTTTAAATCAGTGATTTTAAGGACTTATTTTTCAATAGTATCTTGTTAATAGTATGTATTTTGTAATACTGTTACAAAAATGTAAACGATAATTTGCAGTAAGAAAAATCGCTTTCTTGTGTGAGTGACTTGGAGGCAGAGGGGAAAATACCTCATTATTTCTCATGGATGAAGCTTTTAACCAACAGGAAAAATTTGTGGGGAAAAAAATTGAAAAACAGATAATATGCTCTGATTGAATTCTTTAGCCACAGGATTTCCAAAGAAACTTTGTCTTGTGCATAGTAAATATTAGGAACATAATATAACGTAACATAAGGCAAAACATAGATTTATCCTAAAGTTGAGTACTATCCTGTTTAAGAGAGCATTGAGCCCTAGGTTTACTATTGAAAACCTCGGAGAAAGTTTGGCCTTGCTCGGAAGAGCTGTGGCTATACTAAGAAAAAGGATAGATGGATGGGAAACATTCATGGAGTAAAGAGAGGAATTTAAGAGCTGCTTTAGCTGAGAAACAGGTGCAATGCTTCAGTAGAAGTCATTGGCCATGTGCACTGATAGAGTTTGTCCTTGCGTTCCAGATGAGGCTATGTGGTGCTCTCGGAATTCCTAACATTTCTCTCAGCTGAGAGCATGTCCCACCCCTGGGTCACAATATTTCTGGACAGTAGTAAGGAAAGCCTGGTATACTGGGAAATACTATCTGCTAGAAATAGTTCAGATAATGCTGTCTCTTGACTTGACTGGATTTGGATGCCATAGCTCCCAAGTGTTTGTACCATATTAACTGACTGTGGATCATATACAGGGCTTCAGTCTTAACACTGGTGCTTTTGAATGATTATACTATCCCCACTTTAAATTGTCATGCTTTCTTTTTGATGCCATAATCAAAGCAGATTACATATTTGGACGGGGAAGAACAAAACAAACAAAAACCCAGACCTTACATTTTTAGGTTTGATTGTGAGACAGACAAGTGATTTTGTATGCCTTCCAAAGTCCACTAGCTATAATAAATTTAAATAATAAATAAAAGTACTTAGGCTATGTATGGCCAACATAATTGACTGGGACACAGCTGAATGGAGAAAATATTAGGAAGTCGTTACTATTGTTGCAGAATGAGATATACAGAAAAGTATGAACTCTTGATAAAACAAATAACAATTGTTCAGGTTCAACCTGCACTGTAACTATAACAACAATCCAAATAGAAACAAACACACAGCATCCAGTTGTCCCTTAACATTTTGTTTTTTTTTTTATATTTCCCAAACTGTTAAACCCTATTGAAACCCCAACTGCATTGGAGCAGTTTGAGATACTGTAGTGTGAAAAGGTACTTTTTTTCAGGACAGTTTTATGTTTATTGATACTCCTCTAAAGTCTTATCGAGCAACTTTAAATGCCTGTCTTGTAGTTAATTATTTTTAGTGCCTGACTGAATTTATGAGGAAATATAAAGTGTGATTGTCCCCTTTAGGGATCTAGGCTTCCTTTCTGTGTTACCAGAAAATAAAAAATGTGCCTGGTTTTCTTTCTTCTCTTATTTTTCAAGTTCACACACCATGTGAGGAAAGTAATGGTGGTTGTTCACACTTGTGCCTGTTGTCCCCAAAGGAGCCCTTTTATAGTTGTACCTGTCCTACTGGAGTCCAACTACAAGAAGATGGGAAAACCTGCAAAGCAGGTAAGGAAGTCTTTATCTAACCACTACTTGGTTTAACAACCCTATTGGGACCTACAACTCAGTCATTAACTGCCCTTATGATCTTACTTCAGCTTTGTTTCACAAATCCACAAAAATGGTAAAGGTGAGAATTGATCACAAAATTATTTTTACATTTCAAAAATACAAGCCTGAGTTATCCTGAGGTAAGATGGGCAGCCAGTAAATTTTATAGATAAACAAAATAAATAAACATTGCTAAATGAGGACCACTTGTGAGTTTTCTCTGCTTTTTTCTTTTCCTGACTCAGCCTTTTTATTGCATATTTTATGGGAGAAATCCAAGATTTAGAGAATTTTACAAGCGAATGCTCCACAAAAGGATGTCTCAGACTTGGGTTTGAACAAGTTTACTGGGCACTGTGTATCATGCGACTATATTTGAAAATGTTTGGGGGAAGGAGAATTAGCAGCATACACTTTAATGGCTCTGGCTCCCTTCTTGACCAGGGATGCATGCAAAACTGAGCTTATAATCTTCTGTGCATTTATTCTGTCTCTACATTCTTTCATGCAATTACATGCATGTGAACTTATATGTGTGTGTTTGTTTAGCTTGGCCTGAGAGGTCAGTCCAAGTTTATCTCAGAGAAGTAAAGAGTTTGCCCATAATAGAAAGTTATTACAATTTAGTTAAGATTTACCATGATATGTGAAACTGCTCCCAGAAAGTAATGTTTTTTTTTTTTTTGTTTGCAACAACCACAATTTGAAACCATGATAATTTGGCTTTATACAATAGCACTCAGACTTATATACCACTTCACAGAGCTTTACATCCCTCTCTAAGCAGTTTACAGAGTCAGCATATTGCCCCCAACAATTTCAGTCTTCATTTTTACCGACCTCAGAAGGATGGAAGACTGAGTCAACCTTGAGCCGGTCAGGATTGAACTCCTGGCAGTGGGCAGAGTCAACCTGCAATACTTCATTCTAACCACTGCGCCACCATGGCTCTTTTATAAATCTTGATTTGTTATAAGCATGTTATTTCTGAACCAAGGTACATATCAAGGTGCAACCATGACTTTGGGAAGTCACCATACAAATCATGATTATTTTGCTCCAAATCTCCAAAACTGATTCTGGTATACATAACAAATTATGGCAACATTATGAATCACCTCTGCCGAAAATAGTCTGAGGTGAAAGTTATATCTTCATCATATCTGGACTGCAGTGTCTGTCTGTCTGTCTGTCTATCTCTATCTCTATATCTCTGTGTGTATGTATATGTGTGTGTATTATCTGGACTGCAATTCTGAAGGAAGACCTTTGTATTAGATGATACTATGATTTTTTAAAAAAATAAAATCCATTTCAAATATGTTATTTTGTTTTCTGAAAAGAGATGGAAAATGGTGACAGAAAACATATCATTACTAAAATAAAAGATGTACCTTTATTGAAGTCCATTTTGATTATATAAAATAATTTTTAAGTAAATTGTTAGTAATATTTTGCTTGTTTAACATTATTATGCTGTGGAATCCAGCCATGAAACATTGGATAACAATGAATCATATAGATCAGTGGTTCCCAACCTTTTCTATATCCCGCACCCCTAAAACGCTTCTGATATATTCGTGCACCCCTTACAAAAGTTTGAAATAATGGCAATGAATTATGCATATGCACTATAATTTTGAAAACTCAAATTTTTGCACCCCCTAGAATATCATCTCGCACCCCTGGTTGGGAAGTCCTGGTATAGATGCACTTAGCCTAGAGATCTTTGGGCAGCAAATGATGTTGGCCATTGCCAACCTTCCTTTCTTCCTTCCTTCCTTCCTTCCTTCCTTCCTTCCTTCCTTCCTTCCTTCCTTCCTTCCTTCCTTCCTTCCTTCCTTTCTTTCTTTCTTTCTTTCTTTCCCTCTTCCCACCTCCACCACTTGTTGCTCTTGTTTTGTGTGTATGTGGACAATGCTGAAAACTGAATTTGTATCTGGAAGAAAGCAAGGCCAGTTTTCATTATTCTGTCTGCTGCAATTGTGTTATTGATGTGCTTCCTAAGATATTGAAAGAACAGGGGGGGGGTTTCCCTCCCCTTTAAAAAAAGGCCCTCTTTTCACAGCTTTAGAAACCCTTGATGAATGCTCAGAACAAGCCTTTCAGAAGACTCATATTGACCTTGTGTTTCTGGCAATGGGAAATGGCCCCAGTGGGCATTTAGTACTTTGGCTAAGGGTACAGAAATGAGTGACTGTTTATGTGGTATTTGCACCTTTCTATTGTTCAGCTAGACATTCTTTCAGCCCTTTTTATCAAAAGGGTAGAAAGTGGGATGGGAACAGGAAGTCTGGTTTTGCATAAGAATATGTAGCTTTTGGGTTCACTTTTATGGATTATTTCTTTCCCAAGCTCTGCACGTTTTGTGGGTTCTCTGCCTTATGCCAACATCCATGTGCTTTGACTCCCCATCTTATTAATTAACTCACTGGTGGCCAAGGACTTTTAATATATTACTCAGGAGGAATTTAACTTGCATTAATATATTCACTTTTGAGATTTCCTCAAGAATTGTGTTCTTCAGATTAATACTTTGTATACTATAGAGAATGCCTGAATTGTTCCTTAAATAATTTTGGATTCATCAGAAACCAAGTTATGAGTGACCATGATGTGTCTTTTTAAAAAAATTTAAATGCAGAGCTACCAACCAAGAAGTTTGATTGTGAGAGGATTGTCTTCTCCTTAAACCCATTTCTCCTGATTTTAAAGTCTCCCTCAAAGTTTTTTATTTGGATTGCCGTGAATTAAATACAGTATATTTTATTATGCCTGCAGTATAGAATAGAATCTATGTGATATTTTCTCCTGTTAAATTGAGATACTGCTCTTCTTCCACTTTTTTACTTCACTAATGTGAATGTGTAACATTATAAATTTATAAATTGCAATTACATAATAGCATATAATTTTTGAGAACATAAGAGTTTCTTTAGTGATAATATGGCAAAAAGCTATATATTAGCTATCTGTTAATTGTAAAATACAATATATGTAATTATGAAGTGTAATTTTAAATATAACTTTCCTAAAGGAAAAGCAGTAACCATTTTAATTGAGAGTAACATTGTGAATTAACCAGACGGTCCAGATGATTTATGTTTTCTACCCCAAAATGTAATAGAAATAAAAATGTGGATTAAGTGGTAAGGGATTCACACAGACACAAATATTCATTCCACATAAATAATCAGTTAGGTTGAATTTGCTTGTGTATAAATGAATATTGAGTAGTTGGCTTATAAAATGCCTGTTTGTTTTTTTCAACTAGATGTAACTGTTTAACATTAGAAAATAGTTTTAAAATCCTATTTAAAACTTCTACAAAAATTTTAAATATCCCTCAGTTATTATAAGGTTTTTATCTTTAGTAACAATCATCTAGATTGTCTATTATAAATAAGCATATGAAACTTTTCTCTTTTTTTTAACAAAATTTTATTAAATTTATATAGGCAAGGAAACATAGGAAAAATACAGGTATGGTAAAGGGAAGGGTAAAAAGGAAAGGGGGAGGGGAAGGAAATAAGGAATTAGGGTAAAATAAGGATAGGTACAATCACATATTTCAACAAACAAGCAACTGTCTGGTTCATAATAATGAGTAAGTATATTCAACCATTTTTAACAAAGCTTAAACTGTAACATATTAAAAAAATTAGTAAACAAATACGTTAATCTATTAAGTAAACACTTTTAATAAAATCACACGAAAAAGAAATAAAATAAAAAATCCTAACAATCAAAAGTAACAAATAAAAATCAGTAAATCAGGAAAAGTAATCATATCATCAAAATGTTAGTTAGAACTCGATTAAAAATCAGTCATCTATTCTAAAATATTAAATCCTTCAAGTTCTAACATGTCTCTAACCATTGATAAAATTTTTCCCAAGTTCTAAAATAAATTGAATCATCTTTTTCTTTCATTTCTAATGTTAGTCTATCCATTTCTGCACACTGGTCATAATCTGGTCGGATGGTAGATTCTCATTTTTCCAAAATTGGGCAAATACTATCATTGCAGCAGTTAAAACATGCAATATCAAATAGTCATTCTCTTTACCATAATTAGGTCTTAATATTCCTAACAAAAACAATTCTGGTTTAAATTCTATTTGTAGAGCATATGAAACTTTTCTACAAGTGTTTCATGATGGGATCATAATATTTGGATTTCTCAAAGTGTGGAACAAAGTAATTTCAACAAGAATTATTTTTTTTAATGGCAATATTCCTTGCCATTCATTTTTTCTGATAAACACTTTATAGTGGCATATATAATATGATTGATTCTAGTGAAATAATACTTTCTCCAGTGATCTTCTTTCTATAATTCCTACCTTTCCTCTAGCAGAGCTGTGGATCAACAATTGGTGCAATATCAAGTGACTGTAAATGTTGAACATAATCGTCAAGTACTCATTGTTTTGCATGGTTGGTCAAAATAACTTGCATTTTAATTTTTTCCATTGTTCTTATAATCTTCAAAAATATTTTTCTGTTATTAATGGTAGGAAATTGTTCAGACAAATCAGGCTTATGTATTTATGGCTTTAAAAATGATTTGGTGTTAATATCCCTCTGGGGGTATGGTTCAGTATTGAAGAGACAAATAGACGCTCATTACTTTCTAAAGGTAGCAGTGGTAGTGGTATTTGCTAGTTTTAGACTTTGTTAAACCTATTCCCCATCCCAAGGCTCTACCAGTAAAATGATGGCTGTAAGAAGTTAGTCCTATTAGCTGGGAGAGGGGGGGGGGGGAAGAGAAGAAGAGAAAGAAATATCTACAATAGACCATTGTTATAGTCTGATTAGTAGATGGACTAATGAGAAAGGAATAATGCTGCATTTTTTGCATTAGCAAAAGCAAAATGCTGTCTACATTTGTTTAGGTTGGATGAATAAACTGGAGCATTTGTTGCTATATTATAGGTGCCTTGTCACTTGTC